GTTATACCACTGGTAAAGATTTTTCAGGCCCCAACTTACTGGTTTGGTTTAAGTGTCACCTAACTTTGTAGAGCCTCAGTTTATTTACCCATAAAACGACATGACTATTTCCCACTACCACCCACGTTTGTTTTGAGTATACAAGAAACCAAGTAGGTAAAGCATCCACCACCTAGAGATGGCCTGTAGCAGGACCTCATTGCCTAGCCAACCCCCTTCTCCTCCCCAGGAAATAATTTCTTGATATTAAAAAGTTCCAGAAATGCCTCAAGTCTAAAGAGTAGTTACCCACTGTTGCACGAGGTGTTTCTAATCCGGACTTGCAGTTTGGTGTTAAATAATGGTGACTGCCACCCTATTTAATTCTGTCATCCCTAGGACACGGTGGGGATCTCACACTCAGCACTGTGGTCCCCTCAATTCTATATTTTCTTCTTTCTGGGTAAAAACGGCCCTCTAACTCCAGGAGCTAGACCGGTGCACCACAAACTCCTCCCCCTGGCCGCTGGAAAAGCAGAGCTGGCACACACCCTCGGTATTCCCCGGAGCCTGGCTGGTGGAACCTTCAGCTTCTGTCGCAGAGGCCGACTGGCTCGGCAGCCCCGGGCCTCCCCCTGTTCCTGCTTCCGCTTGCCCCGGATTGCTTTTTGGGTTGGAAGTGTTGCCTGATTGTTTGGCAGCCCCATTCTTTTTGTCTTGGTTCTTCATTGTGGTTTGCAATGTCAGGTGAGGAGCAGATCCTATAGAAACAAGCACTCTCGCTGTTTTCCAGACTTCGAAATTCCCAGCCTGGAAAAGAAATCCCGATATCGGATGCACAAAGCTTCTTAAAACAAACTGGCCGGCCTTCCCCGGAGGGAACCAAGGGTTCTCCCGGTCTCTGGCGGGTCAGGGGAGTCCGGTGTGCCCTGGCAGGTTTTCGGGGAGCTGCTTCACGAGCGGAGGAGGAAAGGCCTCCTTTTTCCTGCAGCCTCTTCCCGGCACAATGCGGCCCCCTCAGAATCCGCTAAGCTTGGGATTGGCTCGCGGCCGGTGACTGACGTGGCGGAACGCTCGCTTCCCGGTCCCTCCCCCGCCTCCCAGGTTCCACGTGGGCCCCCCCCACCTTCGCGCGCACAGCCACCTACGCTTCGCGCGTCCTCCCACCGCGGGCACCGCCCGCCCTCCGGCCGCCCGCGCATGCGCACAAACCTCAGCCCTGCCCCCCGGCTTGAGCCCTCGCTTAGAATCTGTGTGATTCTCCCTACTGGGCGAAAGCGCTGAGGAATACAGACCCACTGATAGCCTTGTCCCTCTAGTCTTCGGGGTACGGACCCCAGCACCGACGTCCTGACGGCTTCGCCCGCTCTGGTCTCGCACCGGAAACCCTGGGTAACCGCTGCCGGCAGAGCCGCCTGCTTCCCGCAGCCAATCAATTGTCTGCGCTCGCGCGGGGCTTGACGGGAAAGATGAAGCGAAGCGGCCGCTGAAGCAGGCGAGTTGGAAAGGAGGGGAGGGGAAAGGACTACACGTCCCGCCACGCACCAGGGATGAACTCCAATTCCCAAAATGCAGTAGAAAGGGCTTTAGTTCCAGGAGCCGGATACTCTGGAGGTCCGGAAGGAGCCAGCCCTTCTGCACAGGCTTCCGCTTCGACTTCATTTCTATCGTTCTGAAACTGATTCAGCTCCGAAAGCCTTGCGCTTGGCTCTTCTCTCTTGCACACTTCCACTACCCTTCCTCTCTCTGTTGTGAACACGTATGGCCGTCTAGGAGCTGAGGACGAGGGACAGAATACTGGGCAGGGAAGCAGGAGACCTTTATTGCAGTCCTAACTTCGTTACTCATTTGCTCTGTGACTAGGCATTCTTTTCTCTCCCAGGGCCTCAATTGGGCCCCAGGGCTTCCGTATTCAAATAGAAGCTTTTAATAACAATAGCAGTTCTCTGAGTGCTGACGACGTGTTTTACCGTTAGGTATTAGCTTCACTCTCAGAACTACTCATCAAGATAAGTACTACTTGTTATTCCTATTTTACAGGTGAGGACGGTAAGCAAATGTTAAATAACTTTTCCAAGGTCACATCGCTATTGAGTGGTTAGAGCAGGAAGTCCGAACTCCTGCGCATCCTGCCTCCCACTTAGAAGGAATAACCCTCATGGCCCACTTACCCTGAGGAGGAGTTAACTAAAAACTTGTGAAAGTATATTTTCCCCCCTCTCCATTACTAGCACGAGTCCCTCTTAGGAAGGGGTTGAGGGGACCCAAGAACTTTAGCCTCAGCAGGCTCCTGAGCCTTTTCTCGGACTGACCCACCCTCCTTTTGCACAGGGGATAAAAGTGGAAAAAAAAAAAAAGTCAAACTTTTCTCCAAATGTGAGATAATTCTTTATCCGGTTGCATATAGATAATGGAATGAAAACCAACAATCCACATTCATAGAATTTAATGCGTACATGCCTGGCTTCGATTTCCTGCCAATCCTGCCCACCCCCTCTGCGGTATTTTTGCTCCAGATATACTTTTATTATTTCCAGGTTTTTGCAGTGGCTATTCAGCTTCCAAAATACTTTTCTGGCAAAAAACAATCTTTTGAAGCCCAGCCCAAAGATTACTTCAGCGTCTTCCAGTGCTCCGCATGCAGTCTGTCCTAGCTCCCAACGCATGGATATAGAGTTCTATTACAGCATTAAGCATTGAAATTATTTGGCAGCAAATCAATGAACATTACAAGATCTGTTGGCTAAATCCTCTGGGCCTAAAGCCTAGGATTTCTGGGGGCAGAGAATGTTTTAATTGTTGTGCAAATCAGCAGTGTTTTAGGGACCTTAGGATGTGAAATATTACTTCTGGACAACAGTATGGTGATTGCAGGGGTGGGTGGGTGGAGGTGGAAGGGGCTATGGGAGGATAAATAGTAATGGAAAAAGTACAACTAAATTTTTTTTAATTAAAAAAAAAAAGATATTGCCCTGGCTGGTGTAGCTCAGTGGATTGAGCGCGGGCTGTGAACCAAAGTGTGGCAGGTTTGATTCCCAGTCAGGGCACATGCCTGGGTTGCAGGCCGTGACACCCAGCAACTGCACATTGATGTTTCTCTCTTTTTCCCTCCCTTCCCTCTCTAAAAATAAATAAAATCTTTAAAAAAAGATGTTAAAATGCAACAACAAATCTCTCAATAAGAAAAATAGAAAAAGTCCTGGCTGGTGTGACTCAGTGGATTGAGTGTGGGCCTGTAAAACAAAGGGTTGCTGGTTGGATTCCCAGTCTAGGGCACATGCCTGGGTTGCAGGCCAGGCCCCTGGTGGGGGGCACGTGAGAGGCAACCACACATTGATGTTTCTCTCCTCTTTCTCCTTCCCTTCTCCTCCCTAAAAATAAATAAAACCTTTAAAAAAAAAAGATGTTGTGTTTTTTTCCCAGTGAGGGACTCCTGGGTAATGGTCTTTCCCTTCCTTTAGGCAGCACAAGTTCACGTTTACCAGGTAACACTGAGAGGTGAGATGGTATAATAACATAATGGTGAAAATCAAGCCCAGAAGTTTTGAAATCCAGATCTCAAGAAACCAAAGCCTGATTATTTCTGGAAAAGCATGTTGGAAATCTGTTGAGGAATTAATATATAAATCAGGTCTTGATGGATTTCCATAGGAAGAAGCTGTTCGATGCAGGTAAAGAACATAATAACCAAGAACAAAGTAAGAGGTGGAGTAATGTCATAAGGATCAACAGTGGCTTTCAGGGGCCAGCTGGGTAATGAGTGAAGTATGCAAGGAATAAAATTTTATAAACATGAGTTAAAAAGTTACTTGCTCCTTTGCTATCAAAGGAAATAGCAACAATATTAAAATCTGCCATGAGACCATTGGGAATGGTGGTGATTGTGGTCAAACAGAGCTCTTGCAGATTTTTAAGCAGAAGTTCAGGACTGGTATTGCCAGATATTTTTCAAGATAAGACATTTTTACTTTATATTTTATTTTAAATTGATTTTAGAGAGGGAGGAAAGGAAAAAGAGGAACATCAATTTGTTGTTCTACTTATTTATGCATCCATTGGTTGTTTCTAGTATGTGCCCTGACCAGGGATCGAAACTGCAACTTTGGCGATGCTCTAACCAACTGAGCTACCCAGCCTTTAATTTTTAAAATGTTGGCAACATATCAAACCTTAAACACACTATCAGCCAACCAAAATCCTTCTTTTGGGTTGAATCAACTTTTTGGCTGCTTTAAGAATGGATCTAAACCAAGTGTCACAGGTTCAATTCCCATTCAGGGTACATGCCTGGGTTGCAGGCCAAGACCCCTAGCAACCGCACATTGATGATTCTTTCTTTCTTTCTCCCTCCCTTCCCTCTCTGAAAATAAATAAAATTCTAAAAAAAAAAAAGGATGGATCTAAACCAAAGCAAGTACAAACTTCAGTTGACTGGTTCTTGAACAGTTTGGTTCCTGTCCAAGTTGTTCACAGGAAAGTGTCTCAGTTGTCTAACAAAACTTTGGGTGTCAATTCTCTACCTGACCACCCCTTCATGATTGATACCTGTATGACCAGTTTCAACAGGAAATTCAGTTTTCACACAAATCACTTTAACAGTTTTCTGGAGCAAATTAAGTTCAAGAACTCCTCAGTTCTCAAACTTAGTCTGTGAGCTGTATGACCTTTGTGGGCTCTCTAAACTGTAGTGACAAAATGCAGATCAGTGGTTGCTGGGGGTTGAGTGAGGGTTCCTAAGAGACATGCAGAAACTTTTAGAGGTGATGGATATGGTTCACTATCTCGATTGAGGTGATGGTTTCATGGGTACATATGTCAAAACCTACCAAAATGTACATTTTACTGTGCCATTTACTGTATGTGTTATATTTCAATAAAGCTGATTTTTAAAAAACATCTTTATAGTAGGAGTAGGCTGTTGCAATTCTTAATTCCACTGTTAGACCCAGAAGTTTAAATACCCTCTCCTCATTCACTTCAAAAAAATCCAGTCTAGGATCATCCCAAAGAAGACAAGTTAGAACTTTGCAACAGGTTTTTATTTTTGCTTTATATCTATTACAGTGTTTGAAACCTAAAGAAATACATTTCTCTTCAAATTTGGATGTGTATATAAATATCATTTGTCTGGACTCAGCGCACTCAATGCCACGGTTTCTTGGCCTCTGTCTGCTCTGAAATCAAGCTTTATCTGTCTACCCAGGGGTCCTGAGAATATAGAAAATAGCCAGAGTTTATAGTTCTTTGAAAACTAAAAGCAAATTGATCCAGAAAGAAAAGCCAGTGAGAAAAAGGGTTCAATTCACCTTCCTAGGGTCTGTAGCTAGTAACCCAAGCTGCTTTCGAGGGCCATCCGGTTCGTCTTGGGTGGCTGGGACTTCATAACCCCTTCACTTCTTTAGTGGTTCAATCAAAGGCAGTTCCCACAAAAGCTGGCTAAAGAGCCAATACCCAACCACAGGGCCTGAGGGTTCTCATAGAGGTGGATGGACTCTTTAAGCCGTCCCCTGAGTCTGAGGCTCCCAGCCTGTCTCAGGATCGGAGCTTTGATTTCCTTCAGGGCATAGCAAGATTTTCTGTCCTCAAACCCAGGGGCTGATAATCTGACCTACATAGGGGAGCAGGACTAGCATTTAGCAGAGGGGTTCAGGTATGTTCTAATGTGAACATCAGCAGCCAGGCTGGCCCAGAAATAGCGAGGGAGGCCCAAACTACACACTACACAAACCCCCCTGCGGTGTTCTGGGCCCAAAATTTAATGCTGCCTCTTCTCTCATACCCAGTTTTGGTTCTGCAAACAGCCCAGACCTGAGGCAAAATGCCCTCAGAGGAAAAAATAACAGCTTTAATTCAGACTTGGTTGGTACTGACCTCAAATTCTTCCCTTGCTATGGTCTTAATCTGGGGCTGGGGCTGGTGGCTGGACAACAGGATGACTGAATCATTTATGACAGCATTGGCCAAAGAGTAGCTAGTGCCCACAACATGGATCCCCACAGGGCCACATTCTCAGCTTGTTGGTCTAACAAAAGAACCCAAAAGGTAAGAGAAAAATTACTGGACAAGATTGGAATAGAACCCTAAAATGGCTATGAAAAAACCTACTGTGAGTGATTTTGCAGTCTCACACTCACTCATTCCTAGGATAGTCCTATCTAGAAGATGTTGCTACTGGTTATGAGCATTTTCCTGTGGTTTAGTGTGCCAAGGAAGCAGGTGGTCATACACATTCCTGAGGCCCCCTGCCAGCCTGGTTTCCCTAAAGGTCCCTATAGTTTGTATAGGGACCTGGAGAATGTGACTCTCTGCTTCCAACTGAGAATCCAGAATCTGAGCCCATAAGATGAATCTACAGAATACCCAAGACGATGGACACCAAGCTGAGTGGGTCTCAGGGAGAAGAGATGTGGCCTGAACATCTACGCGCTGAGGCATTCAGAGAGGCATGTGTAGATGAGGAGGGAAGTATTGCCCGGCATTCGTCTTCCCTCCTAGTCTGCTAGAAATAGAATGTAGGGAAAAGGCAGGCAGACACGAGAAAATGGAAACCCATTTCACTCTGTAGACCGTTCTTCCTTTTAAGCTGGTTTGGCTTGAGAGAAATAGAAAGTCTATGCCTGAGAGCCTTCCTTTGCTCTTCCCTGACTCAGTACAGTAGCAGCTATAATCTGTGCAGTTCAGCTCCAAAAAACCCCCAAAAAACAAAAACCAAAAACCCAGGGGGGGGCGGCCCCTGGTAAGTAGCTTCCAAGGCAAAGAGAGTAGAAGGAACAAATCTAAGCGTTGTAGGTAATGGGGAACAAGGCCCTCTGGAAGCTGACGTCATCAATTCCTGTTCCTTGGGTCATTTGTCCCCAATGACCCACATAACCAGGCTGGCCAGCTAAGGGTGGAACCCACAACATGGTTCTAGCAGAAGGTATGGTCAACTTCAAGGCCGGGTAGCCACTGGGGATCACTCAGAACTGAAGGCAAGCTTCTAAGACCAGAGATCCTGTTAGTACTAGAAGACGAACTGGAGAGGGGAAGCCTAGAGGGGCTGGCAATAAAGAATAGCTGGCATTACTCAAAACAGGATCTGAATACTTTAGCTAAGAAAAAGGCTCCTTGTCCCCTTAATCCACACCTCCATCCCCACCAAAGATTTTAAAATGGACATACCAGCCATGTGACAAAGTACAAAGACTCCAAAACCATGTCTCATCAGGCTGTTCCCTACAGGAGGCTGGCAGCCCTCTATCCCTGCTACATCTGCTCGGAAATCTACCAGAAAGCCTCTGACCTCAGCTAGGCCAGGGTCTGGAGTCCGACGGGAGCTGCCCATGAAGAGTGGCTGTCAAGCCGTGGTTAAAGAAATACTATTTTGCTTTCCAAGATGGCCAAAGGAGAGGAGGAGACTCAAATGATGATGTCACTCCCTCTGTGGGCTGGAAGAACTTCATCTGTTGACGGAAAGGGGTTGGAGGAAGATTATGGGAAAACACGTTGAGGAAGACAGTAATGAAGGAAAGCTCCTAGAGGCCGCTTTTATCTGATGAGAAATCTGTCCTCATATTGTGCCCTGGGAGACTTCAGCCTTTTAAGTCCTTAAAGAAAACCGACTTTAAGCAGCAGCTTGAGGATCAAAAGTCTTCCATCTGGTACAGGGCCCAGAGCAAAAGGAAAAATAGATTTTGGGGAATAGTTGGGAAAAGCAGGATATGTATGTCTCACAGTAAGAATTTGGCCCCAATGCCAGGGACTTAACTATTGCTTGAGATGTACAAAGTAGATCCTAGTAAAGTGCTTTCCCCTTTGGACAAGGGTTGGGGTGGGGGGAGGGGGGAGTTTTCCCTTGAACTGTAGAACAGTTTTGTAATGGAGTCCGCAGGCCATGTGAAAAAGGTCCTGCCTCTTGCCTGCCTGGGAGACTGGAGGTTGACAGTCGTCGTTCCCAAGCCGAAGAGCAGCATCTGACTCACTAAGGTGGTCCAGCATTGGTGTGACTTCTCAGTGAAAAGCTTTGCCCAAACCACCTTTCTCAGAAAGTGGCTGTGGACTTGGATCTCACACTAGAAGGAGGGGCAAATTCAACACCAATGGCTGACAGTGAGCACCTGAACTTTAGATCTGTAAGTAGAGGGGCATGGATTTCACCTGAGACAGAGGAGGTGTGCAGAAACGGGAGCGAGAAGGGCACTGTTTTTGGGGAAGGGAAGAAACACCTTGAGCGGGGCACCTCTGCCTGACCGGAGCTGCACAGCAGGGGCAAGGCAGACTGTGCCTCCTCAGGGTTGGTCTATACGCAGCTGACAACTCTCTCCACCCCCACCCCCCAACAACTGGGCTTTACTCTCATATGTAATCCACCAAAGCACAGGCAGGCCACTGTGGCACTGCATTCACTTTACTCAAAGAGGAAAAAAAAGACATTAGGATTACAATTGTCAGAAGGAAGGGCAAAACCCAAACCAGGTACAAGGATCCCAAACAGGGAAGATAACAATAAATCACAAAAGACCTGAGGCTGCCACGTTTCTGTAATAGTAACAGAGGAACCATGTACATTAACTTATGTGAACAAGGGCCTTTGACACCAAATCTGAGAAGGCAGACTGCTTCTGGGTTTCCCGATGCAAGCGGGATGCTCAGCAATAAGGATTACAGTGGTAGACTTCACCATACCCTGGGTCATCCTTGCTTCCTTCAGGTGCTGGGACAATAAGACCAGGCTGACCTGCTGTGTAAAGGTTCCAGAGCTGAAGCTGGTCCCAGGTGGGGGCCCGGAACCCAAGCAGAGAAGAAAAAGATCAAGCTCAGGCCTCCTGAGTGAGGGAGCTTCCACATTTCCTTTTGGTCTTCCTCACAGTATCCTACTTATAGAAATTACAACAGTTCTTCCTCTCGAGACCAATTAAGATTGACCTACTTAATATACAGAATATAAAAAAATACAGAACTTTTTGACATTCTCTCCTTTAGAAGTAAAATATACATGATCCAACTATGGAAGAGGAAGAAGAGGAAGAAAGGCCAAAGGCAGGGATCCCTGGCTATCCCAATACAGGACACTCTCGCTCCAACCTCCTCTGCAACCGATGGGTCACCAGAGCAAGGACTTTCTCCTCGGGAGAAGGAAGGACTAGAGCCCCTTGTCTCATGCTTAGGAGGAAATACAGCTACCTCAGAGGCTCGTTCATCTCTGAGGGGAAGTTTCAAGTAAACAAATGAAGTTGGGTCGCACCATTGGAAGGTGGGTAGGAAACATGGGATCAGTAGCGACACATGGGAAGCCCTGTCTGAAAGGCCTGCGCCCCCCCCTCCACTCCCACGGGTGTACTTGCCCCAGGAGAGTGAGGGGATCTCCCAAACTAAAGAGGTCTGGGAAGGGGTTAGAGGGAAGAGAAGGAAGGGCCTTTGTCTCACAGTGACCTGCCCCCTCAGCCTCTAGTCCCAGACAATGCTGGCAGCTGGGATTCCTAAAACCAGGAACTCACGGTTCTTGGAAAGAGCAATCTTAATACAAGAAAAATGTGCAAAAGAAAAAAAATTAAATAACTCAATCCAAGCATACAAGATTAATATTCTGTCAGAGCAAGAACACTTTGTTTTGGATTTCTCCCCTCCCGTCCCACCCCCACTTCTGGAATATTCCACCTTCTCAAGTACCCAAGATAAGAGTTACACAGATCAGGGCAGAGAACTGGGAAGGATGAAGGAAGATAAAGGGAACAAAGTCACCACTAAAGAAAAAATAAAAATAAAAAAGGTGCAAAATTGATTACCTCAGTCCTCCTTTGTCTACCCCTGGGCTCCTGGGTTAAAGACATATGTGCAGCCAAAATATAGTGTGAGGAAGAAAAACCCAACACGTCCCCTTCTTGTCACAAAACCCAAATGTGAGCCTCAGATGGTTCTGTCTGTCCAGAGGGTGCTCCCTCCAGGGAAGGGGGTGGAGCAGGTCAAGAGCACAGTTTCCAGGGCAGCAGAGGTGTGTGGTGGCTGACGGTGGGGGCTGCTCCCCCCTCACCGGAGGGCTGCTCTTCCACTGGTTGGTGGTGCTTCCCATCCCATCCCCTCCCCGGAGGCAGACATTATAGCTGGAAGCCCTCCATGGGGGCCTCAGGCTGCTGGAAGATGAACTGCTGTTGTGTTTCATCCACTTGCGGAGCCAGGCTGCTATCGTCATCTTCTACACCAAAGTAGTGCTCAATGAGGTCGAAGGCCTTCTGGTAGATCTCCTGGTTCTCGTGGCTCTGGAGAAACTCAATTTTATCCAAGCCTGTGGTGTCAGAAGGAAGGAGGCAGAGTGAACTCGCACAAGTGCTTTTCTATGGCTCTGTGAAACATTTACCTGTTTTTCTTTCCCTGAGGTATGTTGCTGTTTATAAACACAAACATGATCAGATCTCTTTTTGCTGTGAAAGAGGAAAGCCAACATTTCCCTCCAAACTACCTGACCCCAAAGGAAAAAGACCAAAATGTCAGTTATAAATCAGAGGTTCAAGTCCTTATTCTGTGTTTAACTACCTGTGTGACCTGGGCAAATCATTAGCCTCTCTGAATCTCTCAAGAGATGAATGATAAGTACATTCTTCACTCTAATTGGAACTTGCTAGAAACTCAGCTAAAAACACACCTCCAGTGCCTGACTGTATTATCAGTTCTGGAGCTTTCCTTTTGCATCTGTATCATATCTACTCACTGGGTAGAGACCATCAGAAAGAAGAGATCTAATTGTTCCTCAAAGGGAAAAGGAACTGTGGAATCGAACCCTGCTTTCAGGCCCTGGCCAGGTAGCTCAGTTGGTTAGAGCATTGTCCCAATACACCACCGTTTCGGGTTTGATCCCTGGTCAGGGCACATGCAAGAAGGAACTAACGACTGCATAAATAAGTGGGACAACAAATCTCTCTCTGAAATCCGTTTTTTAAAAAAAGAACCTTGCATTCAATGGTGACTCTAAAAAACATACACCCTCACATATGTGTACAACTCTGGAGACCTACCGTCCCAAGACTCTGACCTAGAACCTCTCTACCTAAGGCAGAGATGACGACTGGGAGAGGGCACATACCGTAGGCTTCTTCGATGAGGCCACAGTAGGGATTCACCCCCGAGCCACTGCGCTTGCCCTCTTGCTCTCCGAGCCGAAGGATGTTCTCCAGTCCATTGAGAGCCACCTGCACAATCTTTGAATCCATCACAGTCAGCAAGTCACACAGGGGTTTGATGCAGCCTAGTGAGACCAGGTACCTGGGGACCAGAGACCAGGCAAGTTCCAAATTATTGCAGGTCAAGGGAGGTGCTTGATGCCCATGATCTCCCTCATACATCTGAGCCTCCGCAACCGCCTATCCTGAATCTGAATCTCTCCACCTTCCCAGTGTTAATGGTGTAGTTCAGCAATTTTCAACCTTTTTCATCTCATGGAACATATAAACCAATTACTAAAATTCCGTGGCACACCAGTAGTGTATCTTGACTGATCTGACCAAAAAAATTTTTGATTCATGCGCACCAGATGGCTACTGTTGTGTTAGCTGTTGTCATTTTTCTTTTTTTAATTTGGCAATCTAAGGGAAAAGAGGTCAGTGCCCCTGACTAAATAGTCAAGTATTGCATGTTTAAAAATTCTTGCAGCACACTGGTCGAAAATCTCTGGTCTAGTTCATTTCCATGTGAAAGTCTGCCGCAGACCGCTCCTCTTCATCTCTAATGTCTCCTTGCTGCAACATTACCATTCTGAACACATCATTTCCATGCGTAAATACTTTCACAGTCCAAGCTCTACCGAGATGACAATACAGATCCTCTCCAATCTGGCTCCTATCCTCCTCTCCTAGCATCACTTCTCATCATTCCCTTCTAAGGACACTCCATTCCAAACATGCAAAGGATTCCTGGTGTCTGGTTCTTGTACCTTTACTTATGTCTTTTCTAATCCAAAAGGCCACCCTGACTGGTGTGGCTCGGTGGCTAAAGGCCTTTTACAACCCAGTATTTACCCTTCAAAGATTAACTTAATGACTATGCCTTTTCTCTTATAGCTTCATACATAGTCAGGTGTTGCAACACAAAATTTTAGTCAACAACGGGCTTCGTGTACGATGACGATCCCATAAAATTATAATGGAGCTGAACAATTCCTATCATCTAGTGACATCACAGCCATCACAGTAACATCACAGTGCAACACATTACTCACTTGTTTGTGGTGATGCTGGTGTAAGCAAACCTGCACTGCCAGTTGTACAAAGTAAAGCATACACAATTATGTACATTACGCAGTATCTGATGAGGATAATAAACGACTATGTTGCTACTTTATGTATTTACTATACTGTACTTTTTATCGTTATTTTAAAGTGTCCTTTTTCTACTCATCATAAAATGAGTTTGCTGTCAGTTACTGTTACGCTGGCAGCAGCCTCACACGTCTCGTGCGTCCTGTGCCTCTTGATCGCACCATTTTCTCTTGTGCCTGATTTCATCTCGTGTTGTTCTGTGCGGTACCGTGTGGTACAGGCTTGCAGCCTAGAACAGCAGGCTACACCCTACAGCTTAGGTGTGTGGCAGGCTAGGCCATCTTGGTTTATGTAAGTGTACTCTGTGATGTTCGCACAACGACAACATCGCCTACTCTCAGAATGTATTTCTGTCATTAAGCGGTGTGTGAACTGTACTGAATATACTTCCCTTGCTGAGGGCAAGACACATGTCCAAGTCCTGCCACTCCTACAAAACACACAAACTCAAAGTAGCTTTCAGCTTTTCCCACGTATCACTCCCAAAAATGATTTCCCAAAGAACCTGTTCTGATGAACCACAGCAAGCATGGTTCTCCTTGATTTGCACTGGCAAGTACACGTATCTCTGGCAGGCATGAAGAGGTACAGGAGAGACAGATGCACGTGCATAGGTTTCTATTTCCCAGAGGGAAAAGAGGCACACGGTCTACAGGTATCTATTCCAGACGCCAGTGCCCCTACAGCAGTTTATCAGTTAGAACCTACTGCAGCTGGATGGGGCAGACTATCCCAGGGAAAACAGTTTGGAGGCCACACATAAACCGTGAGCCGAGAGGGTAACAAAGGGGATACCTGATCTGCTCAGGAGTTCCTCCAGATGTGGCATTGGTGATGGCCCAGGCTGCCTCTTTCCTTGTACGGAACTCTGCTTTCTGAAGAATTTCAATCAATACAGGGAAGATGTTTGTATCTATGACAGCCTGAGAGAGGATTGGGGTGGGGTGAAAAGGAAAAAGCAAGTCACTTCAAGAAGAGACATCAAATCCAGCCCACAAATCAGCTAATATTTACACATCTTCCTTTCCTGGAAGTCTCCCTTTGTCTTGTTACATAGCTGAGGGGCTACAGGGGAACCTGGCTTCCACTACACAGAATCTTTAATGAATAGCACACTCACAGACCCCAATTTCTAAAGGGAAACAAACTCTTCTAGAAACAAATACTCTAAAACCTCTCATGTCCCTATGCCTTCTCACCTGACATCCCTGCCCCCTGACCTCCCTCCCGCTTGTTCTACCTGTATTTGAGCCCTGTTGCCAGCAGTAATATTTGAAATGGTCCAGCAGGCTTCTTTCCGGATTGACTCCTTGGGACTGCTCAGCAAGTGGAGGAGGCAAGGGAGCGCTGAACAGTTGAGAATGACCTAGAACACCAAAAGCACAGGTAACAAAACAAAAATTAGATAAATGGATTAATCAAAATTGAAAACTTTTCTGTATCTGAAGGATACCATCAACAGAATGAACAGGTAAACCACAGAATGAGAGAAACTGTATGCAAATCATACACCTGATAAGGATTAATACCTAGAACATATAAAGAATTTCTACAACTCAACAGTAAAAAACCAAGCAACCCAATTTAAAAATGGGCAAAGGATTTGAATAGACATTTCTCCAAAGAAGATATATAGATGGCTAAAAAGCAAATGAAAAGGTACCAAACATCACTTGTCATTAGGGAACTGCAAATCAAAACCAAAGTGAGACACTGCTTTACACTTACCAGGATGACAACTATCAAAGAGTCCCGAAAATGAAGGGCTGACAGGGCCACGGGAAAAACTAGAACCTGATACTTTGAGAGTGAGAATGTAAACTGGTGCAGCCACTACGCAAAACCCTATGGGTGTTGTTAAAATATTAAGCACTAGCCCTGGCTGGTGTGGGTCAGTGGATTGAATATGGGCCTGCAAACCAAAGGGTTGACGGTTTGATTCCCAGTCAGGGCACATGCCTGGGCTGCAGGCCAGATCCCCAGTTGGGGGTGTGTGACAGGCAACAATATATCAATGTTTCTCTCCCTTTCTTCCCCTCTCTAAAAATAAATAAAACCTTTAAAAAATAAAATAAAATATTAAGCACTAAATGAACATATTATCCAGTAATTCCACTTCTGGGTAAATATCCAAAAGAACTGAAAGCAGACATTCAAACAAATAACTTGACTGCCAGTGTTCAATGCAGTACTATTCACAACAGCCAAAGGTGAAAACAACCTAAGTGTCTATCAACAGATGAACAGATCAACAAAACGTGGTGTGTGAGCACAATGGAGTATTACTTAGACATAAAAAAGAAGGAAGGTCTGACATGTGCTACAATATGAATGAACCGCAAAGACACGCTAAATGAAATAAACTGACACAAAAGGACAAACATATATGGTTCCAATGATATGAGGTACCTAGAGTAGTCAAACTCATAAAGAAAGTAGTACTGTGGTTACCAGGGGCTGGGAGAGAGGGGGAATAAGGAATTATTATTTAATGGGTACAGATTTTCAGTATGAAATTAAAAAACTGCGGAATGGCTGGTGGTGATGGTGGAATAACAATGTGAATGTACTTAATGCCGCTGAAACGCACACTTGAAAATGGTTAAAGCGGTGCATTTTATGATATGAATATTTACTCATGCATGCACACATAACAATGACCTAGAAAATGAGAATGTGGGTTTCAGTGCGATTTCTCACCTGTAAGAGAATGTCAAGAATCCCCCCAAATTATGCCAACTACTCAAGAACCAAAGAATACCCAGATCTCCAGCCTTTGAACAGAAGAAAACCCTGTTCGCAGTGCCCTCCCTGGAGATGCTATTAACACGAGATTAACATGAAGTAGTGTTCAAGGGATCCTAAAGGTCTAGGAAGCAGGAGTAAGGTTCCATAGCTTCGAGTATTTTGAAGGGACCAGGACTCAAAAACTGTTAATTACCTTACAATGCTCTAGGTACTAAGTCAGGTTAATTTAGTGTTCCCTCAAAAGCACAGAGTGGATGATGACTTGCTTTCAATTTATAGAAAAAATTAATGTAAACAAGTTGCTCGTGATTGTATAGTAAGTGGCAGAGCTGGACTTTCCCACGTAAGCCCATGGCTTCTTTCCTAGACCATGCTGCCTCTCCTCGTCCTTGGCAGGGAAGGGTTCTGTCCACAGGCAGCTCTCCTCCTCCTTACCTGGGTTTGGATGTCATCCCCAGTGACGATGTTACCCACAGCTCTCAGTGCAGGAGAAGCCACTTTGTAATCGTTATGCCTGCAGAGGAGGGAGACGTGGTGAGTAAGAGGCCAGCACACAGCAGTCAGCCCTCACAACCACCACAGCTGAGAGCACGCTCATGGCTCCAGACCTGGGAACAGGGCAGCAGCTCTTTAGTCTGAGCGTGGAGAGGATTAGGGAATCTGTACCCTTTCCAAGACCACTCACATTAGAAGCTCTACCAATCTCCTGCAGACTCCAGAGTCTATGACTGCCTGGATCTTCTCATTGGGGCCATCGGACAAGTAAGAAAGGGCCCAGCAAGCATCTGCCAGCAAGTCTGAGTCGCTGCTGAAGAGAAGGCGAGACAGCACAGGCAAACAAGGGGATACCTGTTGGAAGCAGAGTTAGAGGGGCTCATAGCTCATCAGCTCTATTATTACTACTAACACTGCTGCCCCCGCCCTTCAAGTAATTCTGAGCCCTGGAGACCTCTACTACATTAAACTATCAGGCCTAACTTTCCACTTTATGGTCCATGCACATGAGATCACCTACTTCACTGACAATGGCCTCTTTCAGTTTCCCATGGATTAAGAGACTCTAAGAGGTTCTCCACGGACTTGAAAACTCCCATATAGATATTCATTCATATGAAAGAAACCTGCTGTCCCCCTCAGGAACCGATAAGAAGCTCTCTCACCTTTGCAAATTCTGGAGGTGGGTTCTTTCCTCGGCAGAGGTTCGACAGGGCCCAGACTGCATTCCGTGTCATTGTTAGTCGTGTGGACTTTGTAAGGAGTCTGAAAGAAAAAGCAAAACCAGATCCTGAGCAATGATGTCCTTGCATAGAGTTGTTGCCAATAAATCCCAGGAGCAAATCCAAGCAGGGCCCTAAGACTCAGGCAGCCTCAGTCTCTTCCTACCCATTGAACTAAGTTAAGTGCCTGTCTGGGCCAGAGGATTAGGACCAGCGCCATGGCTAGTTAAGACCATAGTTACTAAGGCAAACAGAGGGCTGGATCTTAAGAAAGCCCGCAAAGTTTTGAAGATAGGACATTCTGTGCCCCTAACTATGGCCAAAAGTTCTAAACAAGAAGTACTTGTTCTCTTTGGAAATGGAAGTTGAAGGTGTATTTTCTCTGAAGGGCCCAAGAAGAGTTATAGTGGTAGCCTCTGAGACTGTGAGCTCTGAAGAACAATTCGTCCATCTATTTTGTTTAGATGTACTGTAGCTCTACTTTAATGGTAAGGGAGGGAGGGATGGGAGGATCTAGATGATCTTTCATGGGGTCTTTGAAAGACCCCATGGGTGCCTCAAACAGAACTCTCCAATGTACCTATGCATAAACTCATAAACAAACCAATATACACTGTAGAGAAGGCTGGGTTTTTCAGATGGGCTAATCCTGCCTTTCTCCCTGGCTCAAAACAAGGCAGGTATGACCCACACGAAATTCCACAGTGCCCTGAAGTGAAGAAGCACGAGGTCTCCTTGGCACACACCACTGGCACACGAGTCTTGCTCTTAAAAGATAGCTGTCTTTTACTTTGGCAATCGAAATGTACTTTTAGCATTTTTGTATTTACTTATCATCTTAAGGTAAGCTGTCCTATAGAGGCCCAGGTACAGATGATCATGAATTACTCACGTTAACAGAGGATTAAGGATGGAACAGTTCAAGACGTAATCCCGGCACACGGAGCTGTCTCCAGCTATGTTTCCCAGTGCCCAGACTGCCTGCAAAGGGGATGATGACACTGTCACCCACGGAGCCTAATGGCTTCTTTGAGTACTTTATACTCGTAACTACAGAGTGAGTACCCACCGATAATCAGGATGAAAACCATATCAAGTCTGAGACACACTAAGTTAGCTCAGATACCATCCCTGCTGACATCTTTTTGAGCACTTGCTCTATGAGGGCCTTCCTTCTGAGAGTTCCTGGATCAGTGGCAAAGAAAGACTGACCTTTGTACACAGAAATCAAACCCAGACCCCTCTATCCCCACTCCCCAGAATAGGAGAAAGTGATTAAAAAGTTGCTTTCTGCCCTGGCTGGTGTAGCTCAGTGGACTGAGTGTAGGCCTGTGAACCAAAGGGTCACTGGTTTGATTCCCAGTTGGGGCACATGCCTGGGTTGCAGGCCAGGTTCCCAGTTTAGGTCATGCCAGAGGCAACCACAGATTGATGTTTCTCTTCTTCTCTTTCTCCTTCCCTTCACCTCTCTCTAAAAATAAATAAAATCTTTAAAAAAAAAAGTTGCTTTCTTGTAGTCTCATAGAATCGACCTTACTGTAATGGACCCCATTACCACTCTCCACTTCTATCCCAACAGCAAAATGCCAGTGGAAGAAATGGAAGTTGTATCTTTATCTCTGTGATCTGTAGGTACTGAGAAACAGGTACTGTGGTGTCTTTTTTCCATTACCACCTCTGATGCCAAATGTGTGGAGATTTTTCCACACCAACAACTAATTATCTGATACCAACTGCCCAATAATTCTATTAAATCCTAACTCTTCGAGTTAGAACAGACCTCACAGGTTAAAGTTCAGTTCCACAAGACTGCCCCCACTTCAGACACTAGCTGCAATCCCCAGGTGCCACCTGTACTTCTGACCCACTGGCTCTAAATTCAGGAGTTCCCACAATGCCCTCCTCAGGTTCAGTAATTCACTAGAGGTTCACAGAACTCAGGAAAACAACATGTACCAGTTTATTACAATGGCTACAACTCAGAAAAAGCTAAATGAAGGTGGGAAGTTGGGGTGGAGGGGTAGAAAAGGCTGAAGGGGTGGGGCTGAGAGTTCCCACTACCTAATCCTATGTCTGGTCTTTCTGATGACCAGCTACCTCACCCCCAATTCTGAGATTATTGAGGAGCCCCAGTCTGAGTCATCAAATTAACATGGACTCAGGTGTGTTCCAAAGGGACTCGTTATAAATAACAGAAGACACTACTATCACTCAGAAAATTCTACGGTTTTTAAGAGCTCTTTGCCAGAACTGGAAGCAAAGACCAAATATACTTTTTATTATACCACAGGTACCATCAAGAATTAAGGCAAATTTGCCCTGGCTGGTGTGGCTCAGTGGATTGAGCGCAGGCATGTGAACCAAAGGGTTACCAGTTAGATTCCCAGTCAGGGCACATGCCTGGGTTGCGCAGGCCAGATCCCCCGTGGGGGTGGTGGGGGTGGTGAGAAGCAACCACACATTGCTGTTTCTCTCCCTCTCTTTTCTCCCTCCCTTCCCCCTCCTTAAAAATAAGTAAAAAATCTTAAAAAAAAAAACAAAGAAAAAGAATTAAGCCAAATTTGAACCCTGGCTGGTATGGCTCAGTGGATTAAGCACAAGCCTGCTAACCAGTCACCAGTTTGATTCCCAGTCAGGGCACATGCATGGGTTGCAGGGCCTGTTCCCAGTTGGGGGTGTGAGAGGGGCAAATCTATCTATATTTCTCTCCCTCTCTTTCTTCTTCCCTTCTCCCCTCTCTAAAAATAAATAAATAAAATCTTAAAAAAATTTTAAGCCAAATTTGAGCATTACCTGTTCCTGTACATCCTCAAAGTCCGAGTTAAGCAGCTCTATAAAAATGGGGACAGCCCCTGCTTCAATGACAATTTTGGTCTGCTGAGAGGTTCCAGAGGCAATGTTCGTCAGAGCCCAGGCAGCTTCAAACTGAAAGCGAGATCAAGCCATGATTGACAGGTCATTCCAGACAGAGCCACGGGTAGGCATACCAGGTGGCTCACAGCAGTAAGTCTCTCGCTCCTGACTACAAAAATCAAAACACAAGCCTTTTCCTCTCCCCCTTTAAATGGTAGGAAGAGGTATCCACAGTGACGTAACAGTATGGGAAGCCAGAACTGGGCTTCAATGACCCATGGCCATTCCTGCACTACTATAGTACCCCTGAGTCCTGCACGAATCCCTTTTTTATTTCCCAAGCTTCACTTTTCATTTCTGAAACCAGGATTAGAGTGCGATAGAGCTCTCCAAGTCCCTTTCAGCTGCGTTTCTGTGAGTACTAAAAGATCGGCCCACCAACCATGCCTCAGAAGAGAAACCCAGAGAGGCTAGATGATTTGCCTGAGGTCACACAGGTAATGTGGAAGTTGACTAGAACCTCTGATTTATAACTGAACAATCAATTTGTAATATTCTTTTATCTTTCCTTTGAGATTATCTGGAAGAGACCTGGGCTCTCCTGTTTGAGGCCAAGACTTCTGAGGCAATAAACTGATAGCAATAGCTTCTCTTAAATGTTTCCTCCTATCACTTGTCTATTTCCCGAGAGAAATGGCTACAGAAGCATCCCACTGCAACTTCTTGAAAGGAGGGCTTTCATCTGGCACCCTCCACCCCAGGTCTCACTTGTAATGTACAATTCTCCTTCCTCTTCAGAAACTCCACAAACCGATCCACCACTCCTGGAGTGTTGATAACTTCATCTATTGGAGGGCTAGGCTCTGGAAGAGGAGAAAGGAAGGAGAGAAAAATTCAGGACAGGCTTCAGCAGATGAACTCATCGGAGTCCACCCAACATCCTTCCTATATACACCTGGCCATCCTTATAAATATTCCCAAACGCCCTTTCGGTGAGGTGGTTTTAACAACGGTAGGTCATTGTTGAACTGTATGATACAGATGGTATGCTACAGAGTAAAGCCCATTGTAATTTAAGTATGCTTGCCTTTGGCTTACTGGACCTAAGCAAGTAACTAACTTTACTTACCAAAGCAAGTAGGGAAGTAAGGGAGAGAAGAAGACGGCTGACGGGATGAGCAATGCTAGTCTGGACATTTTCCTTTAAGACCAGCATTCTTTTTTGGGAGGACTGCTTCATATACTGAGGCAAGAAGTACTCTTACTACCACCTTTTTACTGAGCACGCACATTGTGCCCAGCACAGTTCCAAGTACTGAGGATACAGTAGTGAACAAAACCTAGTCTCTGCTCTCAAAGAGCTTATGTCTTAGTGAGGACATTCTATTATGATAAAAGGTAGTACATATAATGAGGGGAAAAAAGAACAGGTAAGGCAGGGTAAGAAGCTTAAAAATGCTGACGGTGGGGGGATGGCCTGGAATTTTAAATAGGGTGCCAGGGTAGGCTTTGCTGAGAAGGTAGAATCTGATCATAGAAGTGAGGGAGCTGTCACACAGATATGTCAAGTCAAGGCTATCAGGAAGAAGGAATAGCCACTGCAAAGGTAAAATGTGCCTGGTTTATCTAAACACCAAAGCCAGTAGGACCAGAGCAGAATGAGTGAATGGGAGTGGGCTGAAACAAGACACTAAATCATGTAGGGAGTCTCTGGGGAGAACGGGCTTTGTACCTTTGGAGAGCAGTTTCCGGAATTTCTGTGTGGTTGCTAACTGCAGGTCAGAGTCATCAGAAAAGAGCATCTCTACCATCTCTCTTGTGATCACACTCTCCTAGAACACAAAAGAGGTTCAAGGCTTTGCAAACCAACACTAGAGCCAGATACGAACACATAATCCTGTGTGGCACCCTGCTTTGTAATGAGCTGAGGGCAAGATGACGGCCAAACGGACAGGCTCAGGAGAAGGTGTTTGTTTAGTCCATGGCTGCTTCAGGTTGGGACATTTGAAAATGATTCCTAACTTCTGAGGCAACTGACAGCTTTCCTTAAATGTTTCCTCAGGTGCCTCTATCAGAGATGAATCCTTGTTGACTCTTAAAGCTGACCAGCTACGAAAGGGCCCATGGAAGAAAGAGCTTAGCATGGCTGTCAGCAAAACGACTAAATGATGTGAACTGCTCAATTTCTGTTCCGCAGAAGCAGGTACGTGCCAGGCCTGCGTGAAGCAAGGGCCTTACCCCAGTGGTAGAGCTCACATAAGAGTCCATGAGGAGACTGTCGAACATGGCTGCTTCTTCATTAATCATCTCCACATTTCTCCGTTTAAAAAGCTGCAAGTAAGGAGAAGAGATGGTGGTAAGACTACTCACTGAAACAAACACAAGAACAAAATCAAAGAATGACCCAATGTTAAATTATGGCATAACTGTCAAGGAGATGCTAGCATGGTTGAGAAAATGCCAAGTTTAACATACTGACATGGAAAGATGTTCAAGGGCTGTACTTTTGATTATACCTAATTTATTGTATTTTTTAAGGGACCATTTTAATTTTTATTTTATTTATTGATTTTAGAGAGAGAGAAGAAGGCAGGGAGAAAGACAAACATCAATTTACTGTTCCACTTATTTATGCATTCATTGGTTGATTCTTGTATGTGCCCTGATTCTTGTATGGAACCTGCAACCTTGGTGTACTGGGATGATGCTCTAACCAACTGAGCTACCCTGCCAGGGCTAAGGGATCATTAAAAAATTTTTTTTCAACTTTAAACTTAAAAAAAATTTATTGATTGATTTTAGAGAGAGAGGGTAAGAGAAGGAGGGAGAGAAAGAGAGACATCAATTTGTTGTTCTACTTATTTATGCATTTATTGTTGATTCTTGTATGCTGTCTTGTATGACTGGGGATTGAACCCACAACCTTGGTATATCAGGACAATGCTCTAACCAACTTAGTTACCTAGCTATGGCTAAGGGAGCATTTTTATAAGTAAAAAAATCTTTAAAGATTCTAATGTCCTCTGCATAAAAGGTGAAGAGTATAAGAGACTTTGAAGGGAAGGAATGATGGTAAAGCAGGAGGGTAGGCAAAAGCAAGTTAAATGATTGCATGTCAGTCTGGGCTAGTCACCAATTTTGTGGGTGTGTGGCAGAGCATAAATGATGAGCCATTAATATATTTTCAGGCCTAGAATGACTTACAAAGAATGGACCCAATAAACAGAAGCAAGGCAGCTGAGAATAGCTGATGAACCTCTTAAAGGGCCAGGCCTAGAGCTGGGAACCAAAGGCCAGGCTTACACTGACTATACTACAGTCACTATAGGGTAAGGATGGGAGAAGGCAACAAGGGGCCAGAACTAGTAAATTACATTGAAGACACAAATGATGTCTTAATTGTTCTAAATTATGGAAAAATAAGGGCTTGATTTTCTTTTTTTTAAAGCTTCCAACATTTCTTTACAACAAAGGAAACTATCAAACATAGCAGCTTAGCCTCTTTCCTAAAGGGAGGGTCAAAGTGCAAGGTGGAGGCCAACTGTGGCATCTAGGTCCTTTCCCTAAACAGTACACTTAAGAATAGTTGGTTAAAAGAACTTATATGTACAACCCATGGACATGAACTAAAGGGGGGATATGCAGGTGAGAGGAGGTATGCAGGGTGGAGGGGAATAAAGGGGGGAAATGGGAGAACTGTAATAGCATAATCAATAAAATGTATTTAAAAAAAAATATTCAAAGCCCTGGCTGGCGTAGCTCAGTGGACTGAGCTCGGGCTTTGAACCAAAGCATCGCAGGTTCGATTTCCAGTCAGGGCACATGCCTGGGTTGCAGGCCATGGCCTCCAACGACTGCACATTGATGTTTCTCTCTCTGTCTCTCTTTCTCCCTCCCTTCCCTCTCTAAAAATAAATAAATAAAATCTTAAAAAAAAATTTATTCAATAAGCAAAAAAAAAAAAAAGAAAAAAAGAATGTGAGTTAACCCACTTGTTGCTCCCGCTTCTGCTTCCGAAGCTGAATGCCCTCTTCCTCTCTTCTTCGCCTCATTTCCTCAGGGTTTAGGGCATTGTTCTTATAGCTCTTCATTCGATAATTGTCTTTCCCTGGGCTTGCCATGGTTTCTAGAAGAGAAGATACAAACACATTAACAAAGGCTCTTAAAACAGAATTTTTCCCCCACTGGGCTTCTGTCCCTACCCAGCCCCCCTACTCAGGAAGACCACAGATTCTCAAGGAGGCCTAATAATCTCAGTAACGGCACCTGACATCTCTGACACTACCAGCACACACAGTTGTTACCTTTAATCATAGTAAGCTTGTTAAATAAGTGTAATTATAGCAATTGATATTAAGCATAGTAGTCAAAGGTGTAAGCCCTGGAGCCAGATTGCGTGGGTTCAAATTCTGGCTTTTCTACTTCTTAGCTGTGCAAGCCTTCAATAAACTGCTTTAATCTCAGTGCCTCGGTATCTCGTCTTTAAAACAAGGACATAATAGTTCCTACTTCGCAGAGCTGTTAGAAAAATTAAATAGGTTGATACATGTGAAATACTTCTTGGAACAATGCTCAGCAAGTGGTTAAATGCTCACATGCTATGATCACCTCCATGACAAGAGAGAAAAGTTGTATGACTTTCCCAATAAACTCGAATATATTTAACCTAGCCAGGTGAAATAATTAGAGTATATACAATTCAGTGGAATACAATATATCTTTTTACAATGATCCACATGCCCACCAGCCATTTTTTAACTAAAAATTTTAATCTGTAATATTTGATATATACCAAAAAAATGTTGTTACCAAGCAAAATAATACAGTAAGTTCTGTAAGCCCACCACCAAATCTGAGAACATTATCAATATACTGAATTCAGTTGTGGATTCTTCCCCTATTCCTTCATCTCCACTCCAACTCCAGTCAAAAGAAAATGCTATCCTGAATTATCATCTTTGTATTTTTTTTTTAATTACATAAGTATATCCCTAAATATAGTATCTTACTATATTTAGTCTTCTGGGAATTTCCTCGACTCCACTGGGTTTCTAAGATTCACCCATGTTTTTCATGGAGCTGTATGTCATTCATTTTTCCTGTTGTATTTTTTCACTATATAAATATATCATAATTTAACAATTTTTACGTTGGTCTGGCTCCCCACCCTGCCCCATTTTATTCTATTACAAACCTTTTGGAAAGTTGTTGAGCATACAAGTTTTCTGAAATTCTCTTTTCACTTAAAAGCTAAAATTGTATCATTGGCAACAAATACTGACTGACTTCATGCATTTAGAGAAAATGTGTGGCCAATACCTAAGTCTGAATGACTTAGGTAAGTCATTCAGAAAAATGAGTTTTTCGTCAGCCATTCTTTCAAGTAAAAACTGTGTCAATTTAAAAACATGTCTAGTTTTGCAAGTTACTTAAGCCCACAAGGTGATTTTCCTCCAGGCACATTTTCAAGGGTTGAATTTGTGCTATTACATCAGGGACATTCTTAAATGCAACTAGCATCTTTTTTCAGCAATGAGAGAGTGGTGGTGAAGAATAAGAATACATGGATTACTAGTACACTTCGGTGCCATTGTCTTGATTTGGGCTAAGGTACCAACAGTTTTACCCACCATTGCTTTCAAAACATCAGTACAAATGTCACATGCAGTGAAAATAGCACTCAACACCTTAAATTTTTTCCTGGCTTTACTGAGATATAATTGACACATAATAACGTGTAAGTTTAAAGTGTACAAAGTGATGATTTGATATACTTCTATATTGCAAGATGATTACCACACTAAGGTTAGTTAACATATCCATCACCTTGCATGGTTATGTTTTTAATGGTAAAATTTTAATATCTACTCTCTTGGCAACTTTAAAGTATATAATACAGTCACCATGCCATATCTCAGATCCCCAGAACTTACCTTTCGATGGGAAGTCTGTACCTTCGACCACCTTTGTCCATCTTCCCCACCATGCCCCTGACGACCACTGATCTACTACTCTCTGTTTCTATGAGTTCTGTTTTTTAGACTCCACATAAAAACGTACACCTGCCCTTGAACAACATGGGTTTGAACTGTGTGGACCCACTAATACAGATTTTTAAAAATGAATCTGCATATTTTAAAAAATGTTAGTGGGACTGCTGGATCATATGGTAGTTTTATTTTTATTTACTTATTTTAATCCTCACCCGAGAGTATGTTTTTATTAATTTTTGAGAGAGAGAGATTGATTTGTTGTTCCACCTGTTTATGCATTTATTGGTTGATTCTTGTATGTGCTCTGACCACAGATAGAACCCAGCCTTGAAGTATCAGGACAATGCTCTGACTGAGCTACAGGGCCAGGGCTTAAACAACAGACACTTTTTTAAAAAAGACTATTTATTTATTTTTAGAGAGAGGAAAATGGAGGGAGAAAGAGAGGGAGAGAAACATTGATTGGCTGCCTTTCGCACACCCCCAACTGGGACCTGGCCAGAAATCCAGGCATGTGCCCCCACCAGGAATCGAACTGGTGACCCCTTGGTCTGCAGGATGACTACCAATCCACTGAGCCATACCAATCAGGGCAACAACACATTCTTTTTAAATAAAAAAAAATTATTTTGTTATCTTCACCCGAGGACATTTTTTTCATTGCTTTTAGAGAGAAAGGAAAGAAGAGAGGAAGGGTGAGAGAAAAACATCAATGTGAGAGAGAAACATTGATGAGTTGCCTCTGGTATGTGCCCAGACCGCGGATCGAACCTGCAACCTTTTGGCTACGGGATGATGATCCATCCCATAATTTAGCTTCATTATGGGATAATGTTAAACTAGTGTTATTTAGCCATACTGTCCAGGGCTAAACAACAGATTCTTTTTTTAAAATTTCATAGACAGAGGGAAAGGGAGGGAGAAAGAGGGAGAGAAACATCAATATGAGGTTGCCTGTCAGCCCCCCCACCCCGGGACCTGGCCTGCAACCCAGGCATGTGCCCTTCCCAGGATTCAAACCGGCAACCCCTTGGTTCACAAGCCTGTGCTCAATCCACTGAGCCATACCAGCCAGGGCTAAACAACGGATTCTTAAATAATAAAATTGGAGAATTCACACTTTCTAATTTTGTAACTTAGCTAAAAAGCTATAATAATCAAAACAGTATGGTACTGAAATAAGGACAAGTATCTAGATTAACGGAATAGAATCAAGAAACCAGAAATAATCCTGGCTGGCGTAGCTCAGTGGATTGAGCACAGGCTGTGAACCAAAGTGTCACAGGTTCGATTCCCAGTCAGGGTACATGCCTGGGTTGCAGGGCATGACCCCCAGCAACCGCACACTGATGTTTCTCTTTCTCTCTGTGTCTCTCTCCCTCCCTTCCCTCTCTGAAAATAAATAAATTAAAAAATTAAAAAAAAAAAAAAAGAAACCAGAAATAAATTCATACATCCACTGACAGCCAACTGATTTTTAACAAGGGTCTCAAGTTCATTCAATGGTATAAGAATAGTCTCTTCAACAAATAGTGTTGGGCCAACTAGATTTCTAGATCCAAAAGAATAAAGTTGGATCCTACAATATAAAAAAATTAATCAAGGACCAACAACCTAAATATACAAGCTAAGACCATAAAACCCTGAGAACAAAAAATAGAAGTAAATTTTTGTGATCTTGGATTTGGCGAAGGATTTTTAGCCATGACATCAAAAGCATAAGCACCAAAAGACAACAAGTGAAAAGACAACTTAGAGAACGGGAGAAATTATTTCCAAATCATCGTCTGATAAGGATTTAATACCCAGAATATGTAAAGAATTCTACAACTCAGCAACAAAAAGACAACCAACAACCCACTTTTAAAATATACAAGGGATCTGAATAGACATTTAGCCAATGTGCACATGAAAAGATACTAAACGCAATTAGTCTTAGAGAAATGCAAATCGAATCCACAGTAAAATACTGCTTCGTACCTACTAGAAGGGCTGTAACGAAAACAAATTAACAATGTGACAAAGATGTGGAGAAATTGGAACCTGGTGCACTGTTATGGGAATGTAAGATAGTGCAGCCTCTGGAGAAAACAGTACGGCAATTCCTCAAAACAATTAAACACAGTTATCATGTGACTTAGCAATTCTACTTAAAAAAAAAAAAAAGATTTTATTTGTCCTGGCTGGTGTAGCTCAGTGGACTGAGTGTGGGCTGCGAACCAAAAGGTCACTGGTTTGATTCCCAGTTAGGGCACATGCCTGGGCTGTGGACCAGGTCCCCAGTCTGGGCCACAAGAGGGGTAACCACACATTGACATTTCTCTCCCCCTCTTCCTCTCTCTAAAAATAAATAAAATAAAAACCTTAAAAAACTTATTTACTTTTAGAGAGGGGAATGGAAGGAGAAAGAGAAGGAGAGAAACATCAATGTGTGGTTGCCTATTGAGCCCCTCCTACTGGTGACCTGGCCCACAACCCAGGCATGTGCCCTGACTGGGAATCGAACCAGTGATACTTTGGTTCATAGGCCAGCACTCAATCCACTGAGCCATACCACCCAGGGCTACTCTTTGGTGTATGAAAAAGAATGGGAAACAGAGGCTCAATCAGACACTGTATGCCAATATTCAATTCAGTGTTATTCATAATAGCCAAAAGATGAGAATAACCCTTGACAAACGTTTAAAAAAAACAAAAAACAAACCAGGTATCCATCAACAGATGAATGGTTAAATAAAATGTGGCATATACATACAATGGAATATTATTCAGCCACAAAAAGCAATGGCAGCCTGACACCTGCTACAACATAGATGAACCCTGAAGATAGTGAAATAAGCTAGACTCAAAAAGCAAATATATTATTTCCAGTTATATGAGGTACGTAGTGTAGTCAAAGTCACAAAGATAGAAAGTAGATTAGAGATTAGAGTTTCTCTTTGGGGTAATGAAAAGTTTGGAGATAGACAGTGGTGGTGGTGGCACAACATTGTAGATGTAACTAATGCTATGTAATTGTACATTTCAAAATGGTTAAGATGGTAAATTTTGTTATATTTTACCACACACACACAATTTTTAATTGCAGCATACTGCATCCAGTTAAATCTGACACAGAATCCCTGTTCTAACT